AATTAAAATGTTATAATACAGTTTTTCTAAGATGATCTTTGCCTATGGTACACATTAAGAGATGTCAAATAATGTTTATAAAACATTGGGAAAATTATTTTGGATGATAGGATTTAGGGTATTATAAAAATTCTATTTTTATTTTTCTGCATTAATTTACTTCAAAAGTATGTAACATTTTATGAAACCAGCAAAGTTGTAATTCTTTATAACAAAAAGATTAAACCAAATAAAATATATTGGAATGAATCCCAGAAGTTGGGCTTAGTGCAGACATTTATTAAAAACCCCTCAGAGACATCCATTAGAAGCTTCTTTGTTTAGCAAGCACTTTTTAAACTCCTACTGTGTGATTGGGTAGGAAAAAGCATAATTAAAAACTGGTTTAGGTCAATGACCCCTAATTCAAGGAACTTACATTTTAGTTAGGGAAAGATGTGAGAAATTAATACAAAACAATTAGTAAGGAAGAATATCATTAAATAATTTTTAATCTATCCTCTAAGTGCCCTGAAGATGGTGAAATGATAACGTACCAAGGCTATCACAGAAAACTCCATAGGGGAGGTTTTAAAGGAGCTTCATCCTTTGCTAAGACAAGGAGGGAGGATATCAAAACAACTGATTACACAAGAAAAACATATACTTCAAATCCCATTTTAAGCTGTCACCTACCTTTCATCTCACTGGATGTGGTTTCTACTGCCTGATTATTTGGTAGTCTAATATTTACTGTAATAATAAATTTCAAGACTTATGATAATAAAAGAGCTTTTGTGGATATTGTTATTATTTGTTTTTAGGCATATCAGAACAATGTTTTCTACCATGCATGATTTAGAAAAGGGAGAGGGACCAACAAGGTTTTGTTTGTTTTTTAAATATAACATCATCACGGAAATACTCTTTAGATCCATCAATTTTTTTCAACTGTGTTCACTCACCCCATGTTACCATGTCTATTCAATCAGAGCTTAATCAAAAAAAACAGTCTCATAATTTTCATATATAACCCTGGCTAAGAACAAACAAACAAAACAAAACAAAACAAAACAACTTCGTCTAAAGTAGTGGGTTCCTATGTTGAGTGATAAATTTCTCATAAGAATTTCAAGATCACCATCAAAACTAGAATGACTGAGGGATGTTGTAGCTCAATATTTTTTTTATTGTATGCTCCTAACCCTCTCCAGGGAAACTGGGCATATGAAGGGAACTGAGGAGGTCTGTGGTGGGTCCTGTACGAAGAGTCCTCCGGGAAATACACTGGGGTCCATTGTGCCTTGGGCTACATGCATGCGATTCCAAGACCCAGGTGAAACCTATACCTTGAATAGGGTGAATATCCCGCAATTTGACAAATTAAGTAATTACCAGAGACCAAAAAGAAGCACTCAGGGGACAATCAGGAGTATTTTATATCCCGTTACGGAAACCTCACAGCAAGGATGAAAATTTAGACTTATACCCAAAAGTCTGATTTTGACTGGATTTAGTTTTAGAATTACCAATTTAAATTAGAACAAACTTATAGCATTTGTTTTAATTCAGAATGGTTTCAACAGGTTAGGACTTACATACAGTTACCTCTACCTAGAGATGGCAAAGAAGGTTAAAACCACATTTCAGAAACTGTATGAATTAGATGTCTGACTCTGGTGGCAGAAACAGATGAGGGAAAACCAGCTTTCTCTGTCTGGCTGGCTACAGGATGTTGGATGGGATCATCTTTCTTTGCACTAGTTCTGCAGCTATACATTGGTTCAACAAGGAATGACCTTCCCCAGGAGCACAGGATCATTTTTATTCAAGAGTATATAAGCAGCTGTGCTACTATGCTGAAACCTATACGATGCCTTATTTATCCAGACAAACTTATTGGCCCATTCAGTTACTTATAAATTAATTCAAAACTTAGCACCTATGAAACAAGAGGGATACAAAGGACTACAAAGATGGCCGAGTGCCCATCAACAGATGAATGGATAAAGAAGATGTGGTATATATAGACAATGGAGTACTACTCAGCCATAAAAACAAAGACAAAATTGTGCCATTTGCGACAACACGGATGGACCTTGAGGGTACTATGCTAAGTGAAATAAGTCAGACAGAGAAAGAAAAATAATGTATGATTTCACTCATATATGGAAGATAAACAAACAAATACATAGATAAGGAGAACTGACTGGTGGTGACCAGAGGAGAAGTGGGTGGGGGGAGGGTGAAAGGGGCAAAGGGGAACATATGTATGGTGATGGATAAAAACTAGACAATTGGTGGTGAATGCAATGCAGTCCACATAGAAACTGAAATATAATAACGTACACCTGAAATTTACACAATGTTATAAGCCAGTATGACCTCAATAAAATAATTAAAAAAAAAAAAAGATGGACAGGAAGGTCACTATTCCCAAGGAATTAAGAACTTAATGGCAAAGAGGGGAGAGCAAAATGTATATAAATATGCCTTACAGAGTACTAACTACCATCCTGATTCTAAAATGCTTCACAACATATAGAATCTTTTAGTCTGTAAGATTCCTAAGGTCACAGAACATCAAAAACATTACTTTCTAAAAGAGATGTGGGTTACTGTCTGGTGATGTTCGCATTTAAGGCTCTTTCTTTCACGTTTTATCCCTTTTCATTTTACAGTACCTGGCATATATTGGAGGCTTAATAAGTATCACTGACTTCATCTGCACAAAATAAGCATTGCACTCAGCCGCTTGTTAGGTTAGTCAGTCACAGTTCCTCCCAGTAATCACCTTCAGTTTATTTTTGACAGATTTTTGTCTTAATTGATTTATTTTAAATCCCACCCTCTTCCGCCATCTGTTTGATTTTACAGGATCAGCCAGGAAATCTTATAGTTGCTAGCTCTCCTTCGAGGTGTAATTAGCGTACCTGCATTTTAACACGTATGGTTGACTTATCATGTCAAGAGTGCTGTGTTGCTCCTCAGGGGTGCCTACAGGTCTCCAATATGGGCTAGGCTAGATGATCTGACATTCAGACCATATCCAAGGTCAACAGTTTAGACTTCGGAGCTAGTTATGCATTGACTTGTATCTTAGCTGTGCCATTTATGGTCAACCTCCTTAAACCTCTGGGGCTCAGTTTCTTCAACTGTAAAATGGAAATCATTCTACTGTACATAACTGAAGTGAGGACTAAATGAGATAACTTACGTCAAAACACTTAGACCATCACATTAAATACGGGCAGTGAATATGATTTCACTTCTCCATTCCTTCATTAAAGTAGCTTCATTATTTTTACTATTTTGTAGTCTAAAAGAAAGCAGGTTAAAAAGAACATGGTGGTCTCCTTTATCATCATTTTAATTTGCTAACAAGTTGGCTGAAATACTCTTACTGTACAATTTTTACGATGTGAGTTTAGCGGCATGCAGGACTTCTAGGTAATAACAACCAGAACAAGAGATCCTGACTGAAGACCTGAGCACTGGAGAAGATCCTGACAACAGAGCACACTCTCTTGTTGACTTCCAGTCCTAAAGTGAGTTAAGTACATAAATGGGGAGGGCCCTGCGCCTTGAATTTTCTTAAAGTCATGATATGGTATTGACTTTCCTGAGGTTGGTAGCAGACCATTTTTAACTGAAGGTGACTGACTTTTAAATTACTTAAGGGTATCATAACATGGTATTTGGGGGGGGGGTGTTTTTTTTTTTTTTTTAGTACATTCTTTACATATCGCTCTCCCATTATAGTTTTCTATTCTAGAAGCTACTCATATTAAACTATTTACTTTACAACACTCAAAAGACTAGAAAAAAATATGTCAGTGTATATGTAAGTGTGGTTATATACAAACACACACTCATACATTTTGGGCTAGACAATAACTATAAATAATTTAGCCTTGGAAATGATGCAAAAGAGGTAATTATGCTATTTTTAAAGAATTGAAAACAAAAATAAATTCTGCCTTCCCAAAGATCTCTTATATAAATCCTCTTCAAAGACTTTTTATGAAAGTCTGTTCCCAGGATTTAGCAAAATGCCTGGTATATAGTAGGCAATCAGTAAATCTTTACTAATAAAAAATAAATAAATGGGTTAAAATCTTGTTTGAATTTTACGAACAGATAAACTCTGCAAATAAGAATTACCCTAAATTGTCAAGAAAGTAAGTAGCAGAACCAGTAATAAAGTTCAGGTCAATAAATTTGTAGTTTCTACCAACCATTTTACAAAATGTTACAATGATCCAGGTCATTATCATTACCCTTACTCAGAGATGAAATAACTAAGAGAGAGAAATCAGACATCCAACAAGGCAGATTTGGTCAAGAATTAAAATGTTCAGCCTAGGATATGTTTATTTTCATCTTTTTAATTCTCATATTCCTTTTTCCCTGAATGCTGCCATTGAGGTCCTGATGAAAAGTTAGCCAGAAGGAAATCTTCAGAAGAAAACCTGGTGCTGACTTGCAAAACGCTTGGACTCTGTCTCCCACACTTCTCAGCAATTTTACACTATTTTTCAGACAAGCACTACTGAATAATTTCAAGCAGCACAGATGAAAAGGAAGGCAGAGTGGTTTTACTGCAGCAGACTCCAATGACAATGTACTCTCCAGTTCAATGAACTCTTCATAAAAGTTGCATTTTTTTCCCCAATACAGTATATTCCAATAAAGCGAAAACCAGTTGCAGGAACAAAACATTGCACATTAGATAGAATCATGACTTGGCAGATAATTACTTGAATACGTACATCATTTAAATCTCTTACCTGAGCCTCTGCTTCATCCAATATATCATTCACGAATTTAGCAACATGCTTAAGATCATTCTGTTGAAACTGTTTCCTTATTTAGCACCCTTTTTGGTTAAGATACATTGAAAAGATTTTTAAACTTCCTTGTTTAACCATTAAAAAATTGTTCTGAGAATTTTCCACAATTTCATTCAAAAAGATATAAATCTCTAAAATGTGAAATGTCATAGTCTATTGAACACTTACCTAAACCAGACTTTTTTAATCGTTTTAAGTGCTGACTTGTTTGTTTTCCTGTGGGAGATTTTTGCCCATGTTTCATTTCTTTATCTGAACTGTCTGCTTCACCATTTTTAGATTCAGATCCTAAAAAAGGAAATAGTTATTATGTCATTATCTTCCTCTTGCTGTCCTTGAAAAGAAAAATCTAAAATAGTTTTAAAAACCGTAGATATAATCTCCTTTTCTAACAGTTAATACACTACCTTTGGCCACAGTCTGATTCCTCTACTGGATATAAAGAGAAAAGCCCAATAAATCAATCAAACAGAACAAAAAGCAAGAACAGACGGCCTAACAGAGAAGTCAAAAACACGTTCACTGATCTGATAGCTTTTACAAGAAACGTCAGATCTTTTGTAAAAATACACAAATAAGTTTCAGCAATACTATATCATTTAGAGACAATGCAAGACAGAGACAAAGAGATGAAGGAAGAGTGGCTTGAAAAGGAGAGACCATACCTTTATTAATAACTTTATGCTGAGGCAGGAATAGAAAATGCAAACATCAATTTATAATAAATACAATGGGACAAGGCTGATAAAGTGACAGAAGGTAAATTAGAAGAAAAGGTCAGGGCTGCACTGAGGTGAGAAGCATGTTGCCAGAACACAAAAACTAATAAAGGATTCCTGATTTTGCAGCAGAGGACTGAAAAACAAATTCACACTCACGGAAGAACTGCTTTTGATGGCATTACATATCAGCGTGTGGTCCACCATTAAAGTTCAACATTCAAACAAAGCCAAAGCAACAACAAAAACATCCACAAGAAGTACTACACAGTTTCCTAACACCTACTGACATCAGCGAATGAAGTCCTTTGATGATGAGCAAGCTGGTGCCTTTTTTTTTAACAGTGAAATATTCAAAATATATTTAAATCACTGAAAGAGTCAGAGGTATAAAAACATTAAATGAAACCTCAAGTGGAAATATTACTCAGTGTTAGAGAAAATTCATGACCTCTCTCTCAGTGAGGAAGTCTCCTCTGGGAAGGAACTGGCCAAGCACATGACATTTTAGCTTTTTACCTGAAGGCGAATCCGACTGCTCATCAGACACCTTTAATGGTGTCAAAACAACACGAGGAACAGTCTTGTTGACCATCATTGAGACTCCATTTCTTCTTTTCTGCTGCTGCCTCAAAGCCTACAAAACACGATAATAAAATATAACATAAAAATAAGCCAAAATGATTTTTCATATTTGAATTAAATGATCCAATTTGCCCATGATTAGACAGAACCTCTTAAGAGACAAATTCCACAGAGTCACTGATTTGTCAGGATTCTTAATAGTCACCTTCATGTCACTTTCCCTCAAAAGCATAAAATCAGGCTTTGGCAGAGTGTATTAACCTGAGACCATTTTCGGGATAATTATGAAAACAAAGCAGCACTTAAAGGTTTGTTTTACCTTAGCAGTGTGGCTTGAGAGCCCATGGAATTTGAAACCATGACTCCCAAGGAAAATAAATGTAAAATAAATGTTTCGAGACCAGGATAAAAATATACGTGTCTGCACTTTTCTGCAGGTGTGTCCTCTCCAGTGCACTGCTCAGTCAATCAAGTTAACACTGAGTGTCATCAGTATGTACAGCAGGTAAGGACTACAGTATTGATGCACTCACTCAGCCGTGGGGAGCGCCGCACAAAATCACTGAACATGGCAGGAATCATTTATTTCTGTGAAGGGAATCAGTCCTAATCTTGGAAACCTTGCAGCACTTGGCTTCTGTCTGCTTGACTTTGGGCATTAACCTTCAGAACACGAACATGACGGCGTTCTGGCAAATCCAGGAAAAAAACTGATACGAGAATAAATCTCTCCAAACGGGAGTGCTTGGTGTTTCATAAATGAATCAACCACAGTGATGATAATGTAATAAAAGACATTTAAAAGTTTTGAAATACAGCTTATCTCGCTGATCGATTTACGTGGAAAATTACCGGCAATAAAAAGGGTCTTAAGCACACAAAACTGAAAAGACATTAAATTCACAGTTATAGGAATGCTAAAACTCCTCCAAAGGTTAAAGGGCTGACCACAGAGAGTCTCAAACCTTTTTATTCCTGCTTTCTGTGTAACTTCTACCAATTTTATAACATCTCAGTTACTTGATTAATGTTCTTTGACGAAGAGTTGTCACAATCTCCCGAAATACTGCATTGACTCTGTATCTCCTTGCTGTCCAACGATGCCATTTTATTTGCAAAGGGTATTAGCTGAATGTCCAACTTGCTGATTGTAAGGTTTAGCAATCAAATAATTACAGAAGTGACAAATTAAATACCATTTAAATGAGAGGAGGCATATTCAGATGAGATTTAAAACCAGATGAGAAAGTAAATAGCTTGGGAAATCTATTACAAATGATACTGTTGCTAATGATAACATGAGACATCTTGCCTTCAATTCTTTTTTTTTTTTGAGGGGGGTGAGGCGGGAGATTGGCCATGAGCTAATATCTGTTGTCAATCTTCTTCTTTTTGCTGAAGAAGATTGGCCCCGAGCTAACATCTATGCCCATCTTCCTCTATTTTGTATATGGGACGTCTGCCACAGCATGGCTTGATGAATGGTGTATAGATCTGCACCCGGGATCCAAACCTGCAGACACCAGGCCGCTGCAGCAGAGAGTGCAAACTTAACCACTATGCCACCAGGCCAGCCTCTTTAATCCTTACATTTATTGAGCTTTTATAAAGTGCCAGGCACTGTGGGGGGACAAGAGATACAAAGATGAATAAAATGCCATCCTCCTCACCTTTACTTGCTGTTAATAATATATTTAATAAGAGAATGTGAGCTATAAAATATTTGAGACATTTACTCTTTCTTTCATCAAGGTGTGCACATAATTGCATAAATCTCTCTAGCTTGTGTAAGAACTCAAAGCACTCTATAGACACTAACCTATCAATCCAACAATAAAACAGAATGAGGCAACACAGTGCCATAAATTACAATTTAGCCCATCTCTGCCCACTGTGTAAGACTTCACAAAATAATAAAACCTGTACAAAGAGCAATACATTATAGATTTCAACTATTCCACTTGGCAATCTTATTAGGCATTTTAAAAATATTCATTTTATGTCCGAGTGGGGACATGTATTTTGGAAAACCTTGGTTAAGAAAAAAAGAGGTGAAATAATAAGAGGCCTAGAAGCTGGAATCATGAAGTCAAAGATGGCATGCCTCTTTATGGCATTTGTGGTAAATAATAATTAAAGTAACGAAAATTTGTCCTCAATTTTTAGAGCTGAGAAGACTCTACTATAGAAAAATTAGTAGTTGGACAAAAAGAAACCATGACAGTAATACTATAATAAAAAAAATAAAAATCCATAGCTATGTTGAATTTTAAAGAGTCAAGGTGGAGCCAAGGGAGGAATAAGGGAATGCAAATCAATATTGAGCCCATTTCAATGACTTTTTCGTGAACATGTATTTCCTACTCAGAAATCTGAACAATATTTTTTTTCTTTGTGAGGAAGATCAGCCCTGAGCTAACATCCATGCCAATCCTCCTCTTTTTGCTGAGGAAGACTGGCCCTGAGCTAACATCCGTGCCCATCTTCCTCTACTTTATGTGGGACGCGGCCTCAGCATGGCCGGACAAGCGGTGCTTCGGTGCGCGCCTGGGATCCGAACCCAGGCAGCCAGCAGTGGAGCGCACGCACTTAACCGCTACACCACGGGGCCGGCCCCCTGCACAATATTTCTGAATACAATATTTTTTAAAATACTAAAATGCAACACCATGTGCCTGTAGGTGACCAAAACTAAATGCTCACCATATAAGAAACATGACTATTTTAAGTATATTAAAAACATACATACTTTTTTGTGTTACCTCTGAAAAATAAGCATTATATTTGACCCCAAATAACATTTCTAGGGGCAAATAAGCAAAAATTGGGAAGTCTTTGTTTACTATGACGCTAGTCACAGTAGTACAGCAGCAGGCTACTAGTTAAACTGAGGAGTATCCGAGTTCAGCTATCAGAAGGGGGATCTTGATTGCCTCTACTAGATCCATAAACATTTTAGGCTGAGTCATTTTAGGTTACCTTGAAGATTCCAATTCACTTTCTAGAGAGTGGGATTTATTTGACTCGACACTGGGAACACCCTCCAAGCAGATCAGAACGTGGACGGAGAGGGAACAACAATGCTGACTCAATTGAGATGTCTGGGATAGTTTCGGCTGGCTCCAAACAAGAGAATTCTTGCACTTGTCGTGTCCACAAGGCAGGTCCTGTAGTGATTCCTGCCTTAGAGTGATGCCTGGTCTCTCCTTGTGGGGAATGCATTCTACCAATAAATAAGCTAGCTATTCATAGGTTTTTTGGTTATGTAATCATATTTCTGCAACTACGTGCACATCTACCACTCACACATGTGCTGCGTGTCTCCCCACAATCCCCTGAAAAACGCACAACGCTTTTTGGACCAGGCTGGCATAAGACAATGACGGGGGGGAGGGGAGTGACAATGGCCAAAGTGAGTGGGAACAACATACTCCACTGGAGGGGGCAGTAATGACTCAAGAGAAGCAACACAAATGGATTTTTAGGTGAGTTTTCCTGTTTTTGAACAATGTGCCAGGCACAACAAAGATGACTGTGAACCAAATTCAGCCTGAGGGCACCAATCTTTGAGACCTACTAAACACCATTCCCAATGCTCCTCACCTCCCCAAATAAATGAGCCTGACCACTGCCCAGGAAAGGTATTAAAATCCCCCTCTCCTAACATGCTGACCTGCAGAGGAATGCGGGCTGCCGCAGAGCCATCTTAATGACTCCGTGTGATGCAACGGTTAAGGGTGAGGTTATAGAGTCAGAGAAAGACTTAACTAACTAGCTGAGTGATGCTGGATAAATTACTTTGGTAAATTTCCCATAAAACAGAGACAATAGTGGTGGTAAGATGTTTTAAATAGGGAATCCACAGAGCTCTTATTTTATATAGGCTGTTAGGATGGTCAATGGCCATCTAGCCTTCCCTCAGTAAGTCCTTTGAGGCTGTGTCTAACTCTTCTCTTCAAAACAGAGTACAGTGGTATCCCATTGTCTTCAACTTTGAGCTTTAGCTAAAATTTCAAGAGAACAAGAAAAAAAAAAAAAAAAAAAGAAAATTCCTATTTTATATTATATCAGAAATATAATAGAAGTTAAATGCAATTTAACTTATAATTATCTAAGTTTGGGTATCCGACAGTCTGCAAAATATAAATCCATGTATAGATTAAGAGAACAGGATTAAGAGGGCCATTTTAGATGGTCGTGGAAGGTTTGCTCTGCACAAAGGTACACTGAAAGGGGAGCTTTCTGTTGTCGTGACAACTTGGGGCAAGGGCAACTTTTTCTATTCTACACCAAAGGTCTTAATTACTCAGTGGTGGCCTTGTTGATCAATCTATAATGTGGTTTTATTTTGACATTGATATTAGATAACAAGTCTCACTATATTAGTCTAGATTCATTTTAGGAGGATGCTATCCACGAAGCACCTCCAACCACTCAAGCCTTAGCTGTACATTAGGATGTTAATGGACAATCTTATTGAACAACTTTAAATCCTGTAATTTCAAATCCACAAAGAAGCAATATCAAAACCTAAATAAACAAGTAGATGGCAAGTGTGAATTCAGTCCACTAAGAAGAAATGTAACTTCAAGGTGCCCACATTATAGTGTCCTCATGCCCAACTACACAGAGTACACTGGACTTGCCAAGTTTAGTACTTTCAGGTACCATTCAGTATAAAAGAAGTTTACAGGCTTAAACTTGGAAATAAACCTACTTTTTAAAGGAAACAAACATGACAGAGCTAAACCAATCTAGGGCAAGTAAAGATCATATCATACATCAATTACAATTCTGGCTTCAAGCAAAGAGAAAGAAATCAAAAGACAGTGACTGAGCATGCTTTCCTCTAGAGATGTATCACAATATTCTCTTTTAAAAAGAGACAACAAACCTTTAGATAAACATTTTATTTTTTAAACAGAAAGCTTGTCAGATAAAGCTTGTCTAAAAATACAGAACAGTTCTCATTTGTACCCTAAGGAAAAATACAATACAACTTAAAATCAGAGGCTTTTGTTAACTTGGAATTTACATAAACAAGTAATGTCTGCTTTATTTTAACAGAGAAACACCACCAACAACATAACTTAAGAATGCAGTGCTGGCCCCGTGGCTTAGCGGTTAAGTGCACGCGCTCTGCTACTGGCGGCCCGGGTTCGGATCCCGGGCGCGCATCAATGCACCGCTTCTCCGGCCATGCTGAGGCCGCGTCCCACATACAGCAACTAGAAGGATGTGCAACTATGACATACAACTATCTACTGGGGCTTTGGGGGAAAAAAGGAGGAGGATTGGCATTAGATGTTAGCTCAGGGCCGGTCTTCCTCAGCAAAAAGAGGAGGATTGGCATGGATGTTAGCTCGGGGCTGATCTTCCTCATAAAAAAAAAAAAAATGCATTGAATGCAATAAGCCCTTCACTGAAAACTCTGAAAATATCCCATGCTGTGAATGCTAAAATAATTAGAAATACACACATACAAAACAGCTGCCTGTGGCAGGCACCAACAACTTGCATTGTTGCTAGTGGCTAAATCTCAACGCCCACGTTCAAAAACTGCTATCATGCAACATAACCTTTGGAATTTCACAGTATTGGTCAAACATACAAAGCTAAAGAAAAATACCAAGAATACATCTGCTTTGCAATATGAAGAGGGAAAAGGATCTGCAACTTTATGAATAAATTCTACCTCCCTAAATAAATAATGAAGGAAGGCAAATAAACCAACAGGAACAAGATAGAGAGGTTCTGTTCTCCACCATGTTACTCCCATCACAACAGACCTCATCTTTCTTTAATCTTTCATCTGATTCTGCTGTTTAAAAACTTCCAAAATTTAATCTTTCTAAATTTTCCTTCCTTAAAATTCAAAATCTAATCATTTCATACTTTTTAGGATCATTATAACTAAAACAACAAGGCAGAAAGAAGACAGGGAACAAGGTAATACTTAGCAATCTGCTACTCTCCAGAGACTTCTGAATATGCTTATTCAGAAAAAAAAATACTGAAATAACAATACATTATTCACACAATTACACCCAACATATGATGTTAACTAATGTTCTGATGATTAGAAAGTAAAAGGGACCCAAATATTTGGGAGCAATGACTCTATGTCAATAGCCAAGGGGCATTATAGCCTTCATATCGTCCAGTCTATAATTACACTGCAATCAACAGTACTATGAAGTAAAAAAACTCACTCTCCATAGCAACGTGCTTCAGGTGGGGGTAGGGTGGGGACTTCAGATCTGGGAAATTACGTCTGGCTTATTTTGCATGGAGGTTTGTTTTAAATTATTATTTTTCACTATACTTATCTTATAAAGCTACTGGGTTTTTTGTTTCTGTTTTTTTCACCTACTTCTGTCTAAGAATCTACACTGGCCCATGTATAGTTGAACTACAAAATCTCTACTGACTCAGAATATACTTCTAGTAAAATGATAAAAGAGCTAATATACTTGAATGCCTACCATTAACACGTGCTGATACTAAACATAGCAGCCTGTGTTGGAAAGAATATTCTTAATGACTATGCCGTACTGCTTTCCTTACACTAAACAAATATTCAAGAATGTAAATTTCCTTGGATAATGTCAAAAATTCATCTATCCTATTAGATACCATATGCTGAAAGGGAGTATTAGTTAAGAGGGCAGAATCTGAAACTATGATTTGGAGTTCAAATGTCATCTCCAAGATTTACTCACTGGACAATCTTGGGCAAGTTATCTAACCTGTCTGGGCCTTAGTTTCCTCATTTGAAAAATGGGGATACTAATACATACTTTAAAGGATTTGTATAAGGATTAAATGGCATAGTACGTGTAAAATGCCCAAAGTATAATGTCTAGAATTCAGAAAAGTAAAAATAAAAAATTATTAGGGTCATTCAGGTGGCTCTACATTCATGAGATTATGATTTGTGCATATTTATATACACACAAAAGATATATTCAAAAACACAGAACACACATATATGGATATATATGGATATATACACTTACAAAGAACTCTACATGGTCACAGTCATTCAACTATCCAAAAGAAAAGAAAGCTGCAGATTTGCTGAGGCTGCTACAATTTAAAATGCCGCATGTTCAGTCAATTTTTGAAATGCTGTCTTAAGAAATTCAGCAATTACAGGGAATTTGGGCAAAATTCTGCAAAGAACAGCTTTTCTTCTAAATGTATGTCCAATATGAATTTTACTATTAATCAAACATTAGCATATCTGCTATATATGGTGCTTAATTTGTTACTTGGTTATACAACAGGAAGTTTTAAGAAATTAATAAATAGCTCTTTCAGGACATTAAGAAGCTTACAGGACAGGTTTCTTAAAACAAGGCTTAGATCCTAAGCAAGCAGGTGGCACTTCCCATGAACACACGCTCTATAACAAAACACAACCAAAAAACCACTAACTCAAAGTTGTGTGATGTTTTAGTAATCGTAAAAAATGTTCATATGATATGAAAGCAAAATGAAGAAAGCAAAAAATAATGAGATATAACAATACAGAGACTTGAATCTGTATCTTCACATTCCCACAGAGGCAGATTTCACGGAGTGCACGTTTTCTAAATCACCGCTCTTTCACAAGTAGGAGTTTCGTTTATGATCACATCCATCTTTCTTAAATGCCGTGACTACCAGTATCCAGTTCTGTACCTTTTGTTCTATCCTGGTTAGTACTTTATTACCTGCATCCTATTTGCCACCTGACTAAGCCTTTTCCCAGGCTTCCCTACCATCATCCATCCTTTATTTCATCAATGAAAAGGGAATCTCAACACTGAATTCAGTTTTGTTTTCTGGCATCTAAAACATTTCACGAGAACAATGATACAAATAGCAAGCTCGGCAAAGCCTGCCCTACGTAAGACGAAACACTGTCACTACCTTAACTGTAATACCAATGAATGCAAATACTGTAATTTCCATAATTAATACAGAAAAAAGTAACATAATTTAGTACAAAAATGTTAAGTTTCTTTCCTAAGTTTCCTTATTTGAAGTAGAGGGGAAGTAGGTGGAGACATTTTAAGTCTAGGAGATGGAATGTGAATATTAAGAAGTTTTACAGATTGGTGGGGTTTAAAAAAATTTTTAACTTTATTTAAAAACATGGTTTCTCTTTGCTTGTTATAAATATACCACTAGAATGATACCTCTATTCCTAGACTTGGTATGCGTCAGCAACAGGTAAGGTGGAGGGGTTGTCACAGAAGGATCAAAATAAACATAAGAGGAAAGCAGTTACACCTGGAAAACCGTGAATTCAGGGTTAAATTTGTAAGCCTCCCATTTATTGACATGGTTAGTGTTACCATCGTGCAAAGTTCTCATCTAACCATAGCATCTTGTCCTTTCTTCTCTGCACAATTCAGCATTTGCCAAAGTGGCAGCAGTAGCTAACATTTATTGAGTGATGATTATGGGCTAGACACTCACTCCACCACATGCTTTCAAGGTATCACCTCACTTACTTCTCAGATCACTCCCATGTGAAGGGTACTAATATTTTCCACATTTTCTAGAGAAGGAATTTGAGATTCAGAGAAGAAAAGTAGCTTGCCCAGAGTCACACAGTGAGTAGCAAGGATTGAAACCAGGGTATGTCAGAGTCCAGAAACCAACCTTATAAGCATTACCACCCGCCACCATCTCTGGACAAGGACACACAAGTCAAGACTGCTTATGTAATATCGGGATGAAACTGCAAAGTTAACCTCCATCCAGCACCAATTAACACTCACCGATGGGTATTCTAGATATAAGTAAGCCACGATTACTGTTTTTCTTATTTGTAACTTAACGCATCTCAGTAATGAGAAGAAATTATCTGTTTACTTTTTATCTCAACTATTAGGTAAAAAGCACCATAAACAGAGACATTATTTTCAAAATATGCAATGCATTTATTAACCCAATATGTTTACTATAAATCAGACACAAAAAAATCTTAATACAAGTTTTTGTTTCCAAGCACATTTTCTCAAGCACATTTTCTATTCTACATCAAAGTTCGCAGCCAAGCCTCTCCTAGTTTTTAGCACAGGTTAAAATTAGTATATCGAATATTATGGAAGTGGTTAAATTTAGGACCTCTCTATTGCTTTCTGATTGCTATGTTCTTATTTATTTTACTTTCTCCACATAAAACCCACTACCTTAAGCAGGTAGAACTGAAGGAAAAAGAACCAATGCCAGCTATCTTACCTGTTTAAGAGCCTTTTTGGTGTGTTGCTGAAAGGAAGACACTAACTTGCTTTGCACTGCTGTGTTAGTAAGGCTTGAATCTCGAGTGGAAGATGCTTCATCAGTTACCTGCTTCGCACAAACTAGAAACAGAGAAAGATAATGATATTACTAATTTGAATTCCTTTTTTTATATCCACTGTAATTAACTCACTTGGAGCTTTTCTCCAGTTGAAAATGGATGCCTAAAATAAAGCAAAATAGCACAGCTAAAAGAAGACTATCTAGATTTGAAAGAAGGGATCATTTAATAACTGTGTTGCCACAGTCACATTTAACCTCTGTAAGCGCTTCTGTTTCCTTACCCACTAATTGATGATAATTTCTATGTCATAGGGCTATTGTATGGACATAAAAAAGAACACAGTATCTGCCTCAAGAGGTGGGAGTCAGTAGATACTTTGAGAATCTGAATGTGGAGATTGGGCATTCTGAAGAAACAATCTAAATTAATGAAATTGTTTTAAATCTACCAACCTCAGAAGTATTAACGATTCTTCTATTTAACAGCCTTCCTCCCATAAAATCTATAGCCTACTGGGGTATGTTTATCATCTCCTAAGTGTCAAGTCACATAGCATGGAGGAGGAAAAATGAAATCCAAGATGCTCGGTGTCAATTTAAGACAACTATTTTCAGGAAAACCATGCCCTCTGCAGGTTACAATATAACATGCCTAATTTTACTAGAGTCAAGCTTTCCTGTTGCCTAGTCTACACAAGACGTTTTCTTTGAAAAGACTGCCTTGTAGAAGAACCCATGTCTTGCTGACATGAGTAACCAAAGGGGCCACGTTCACCTGCTGCTCTATGAAACCTGTGCCGGAGCTAGAACCCTTCTCTCAGTTCCTGAAACATTCCACCGAAGAGACCAGGTTTAACACTAGAGTGACCCTGGCAGATGTAGGCCCTGTTCTGTGCACAGCAGAGGAGAAAGAGTTATTTGGAAAACCAAAGTGAGGAAGCACTATGATTAGTGGCAGAATGGAGGCATATGTCAAAGGCAGGAGGCAAGAGGAAGTTAGAAGAAAATAACTTGAGAACATATTGTAAAAGCTCAAAATATGACTTTTTAAGGTCACCAGGGTTAATGCTAATCCAAGAAAATTTTCCAAGGAACAGTAACTCAGGAGGATTCTGACCTAAGTTTTAAAGGAAGATGGAGGAGTAAAAATTATTCTTGTCAAAAATGGAAGCATATGCACATGCACAGTGTGGAGAACACTCAAGCTGCTTTAGATACCCTCAAGTACATATTTCCTAGAAATGATACTGTGGTACATGAAAGAGAATGTTTGGAAAAAAGAATTAATCAACTTTTGTTTTAATACAGAAAGTGATCAGCAAGATTCAATGCACAAGTTTTGGAAGATAAAATAATTGTTAGTTATTAATGTCAGGTGCTTTACAAATGTGATCTCACTTCATACTCACAGCTTCCTTGCAAGATGAAAAGGTATTATCTCCATATTGGAGAGAGAAAATTAGAGCTCAGAAAGGCTCAATAACTTGCCCATGGTCACAAAGCCAATGAAACAACAGAGCTGGGATCCAAGGCCACACCCATAATTTTCCACTTAAAATATTTGGCCTTCAAGCCAAGAACTGATGCGGAAAATTCAATATCTAAAGAAGTTTAATGTACTTGCATCATGTTGGAAGTACTGAAACAGGAAGTTACTAAGGGCACGGGGAACAAGTCATTTAGCCCCTGACGTGGGAAAATTGAGAACTGTGGGTGAGAGTGATTGACCTAGGAAACACTATGGTCAAAGGAGCAAAAGGATTTGCCCACAGATATAGTGAGACAAGTCACTGAATTAAAGATCAGGTGACTTTTTTCTATTTGATACATTATGACATTTTTCCTTAAAACAGTCTGAATGTTCCAGGTAAGAAACATGTTATAATACTGCTTGCATAAACTATGGCTCCTAGGCTTCTCTCCTTGAAACGATCAGGAGAGTAATTTGTAACACTTCACCAAAGCTTGCTTATCAAAAAATATTAGAAATAATCATCAGTTTATATTGTAAAGATAAATTTATTTTTACACTGATTACACAGATGGCCTTTTCAGTGTTCTGAAGTCTCTATGAAGTATGACAAACTGGGGAGGTGAGAGGAAGGTGGCAGACAGGATATATGATCCCACTGAACAGACTTAAATGGATGTAATGTAAGCCAAGCCAGAAGTAAAGTGTGCATTACCAAATATGTTTTATTACTTTCACATTCTTAGAGTAGTATTTCCACCTAGAGAAATGGAAACTTACTGGTTCAAAAGGATAACCAAATGCAGTACATGGATTTTAGGGAATTTATGGAAAACATGAAAATGCTTCTGCCTACTGGACATCTAAACAAATTTACCAATTTTCTTAGGAAAAGCTTTCATTCATAAGTGCTTCGAAGGTAAACTTCAACGCAGTAGGCTCAAAAAACAACAAATGCTGAATCAGTGACCATGTAATTAAAGCCTTATCTCCCTTATATTTTCTGACTGCTACAATAAGCAGTACACAATCAGCTGTCCTTCCTGAGGATAACAGATATCTATCTAACTTACAACTTGTTCTATTTTTCTCTGACGTAGGAAACCATAGGGTATCGTGATACTTATTTCAGTATCAGCAAATACACTGTACAGTTTGGTTTAAATTCACTACTGCACCATGTAACAGTGATCCACATTTATTTACATATAGTGTTACTAAAAGATTCTGCTCAATTTAAAGCCCAGAAATTCAGTAAAACTGAAACAGCATCAAAGAATACTACAAAGTTTTTTCTCAAGATGATTCATTTTCCTTTCACTCAATTCGATTTGCTTTATCTTACATTCCATCCTAGACCCAAGTGAAGCATCATGAGAATTCCTTTACTACACAGTCATCTTTCTCCCCAATTGCTCTTTCTGGAACTTAGTCCTATTTCTCTGAGTCAAACCATTTTTCCCTAGTTATTTATTTCTGTTAAAATAATTATAGACTCTTAAAGAAAGCAAACGTAATAGAAAACAAAATCTATAGGTGAGTGTTCCTTTCAGTTAAAAAAACCTTATTTTTAAGGAAAAAAAAATCAAAGAAGAAAAAAATGGGTGGGGCACAATGTAATGCATCCCTAGGCTCCAATAGTGTGTGTGTGTGTGTGTGTGTGTGTGTGTGGTGTGTGTGTGCTGACAAATATAGACCCTAAACCTGGGCATGTGAGCGACTTGATTCATTCTCTTGCCATGTATAAGATGAGGGTGACTGAACCCCAAAACACCCACTGAGTAATTGGATTATGCAGGTTCATGGCAGATTCATATTCTGAAACAATACATGGCTTTCACTTTTACTTATTCTTGCAGCTTTTTAAATAACAGATGTGATAAATAAATAATACAAGGCTTATTTTAAACAGTTGCCTGAATGTTTATCTAAAGGGACTGAGTTTGGCCTCTGAAATATAAGCCAAAGAAAAATTAATGTTAAAGAAAGGACCAGGGGAAATTCCCTGTATATGAAATTACAACAGGAGCCAGGAAACTGAAGAATTAGGACAGATGTTTTATCCAATAAATATCAAACACTGACATGCAGCTTAGAAAGTGATATCTTCTTGGCATTCAGAACAGAATGCGAGATTTTTTTTTTTCCTAACTGTGCACTAGCACCATCACAAAATGAATGCCAGGATTTTATACCTCAAAACCCCACAAGACTGCCTGCCCTTTCACAGGTGGACAAATTGAAAATGAGGAAATATTTTTAAAAAGCTATAGAAATATTATTTCTGTCTACATTTTGCCTGCCTTAACTAAAACATAGTTAAAAGCTAATCTGCTAGTTTTAAATTCAAACTGTTGATGGGATTCTCAGTATTTGCTGCTCACCCACCTCTACTCTCACTCACACTCAGATTCCCAAACCCCTCCTCCAAAATATTCTACTTAGAAGGCTTGGGAGCAAAGAGAGATGGAGGATGATAGGTAATCATGAAACAGCCTTGAAGGCTAGAGACACTGGTGACTGTGTCCCAGCAACACTGGATTTCAGCCTCTTTTCTCAGAGTCTCCAACTGTCCCTCTCTCTCCTCTTTTTCATTCACCATTCCACTTGAAAATGCGACGGAGGTAGAAAATATGGGTGAGAGCTCATATTTTTCAAGTTGAGTGCTAGAGAGAAGGTATGGGTGCTATTTCCCCCAATCCTATTACTAATCCAGTGACAGATGTATAAGAGGGCTTTGACCCTTCACCCAAGACACAAAGAAGGGAGAAATCAGAATGCAATCTTGACTGTCTCTACTTTTACTTCTCACTTCTTGGTCATCTCCTCAACTCCCACCCTCTCTGTTCCAGCCCATTGAGATCCTGTGGTATTTCCTGACACGCACACTTGCTGTATTTGGTGTATTTGTTCTGACTGTCCCTCTTCCAAGTACCCTTCTCCACCTCCCTGCTGAGCAGACTCATCCTGACAGACCAAACTTGAACAGCTTCCCGCAAAGCTTCCCCGACTGTCCCAGCCCGAGGTAGACTTACTCTGCCCCTACCCATGTTTCCTTGGAACTTGCAGTACGAATTCATGACAGCCCTCGAAACACTGGAGCCCCGCCCCCGC